TGAGTGATGTTGGTCTAGTGTAGTGTTTGCTTTTTCAGAAACGGAAGACAGATCCTGTTGCAGTTATAGAGGCAAGCTTTGCAGTTAATTGCACAGAACTCTTTTTATCAAGTGAAATGAAAAAGAAGTTAAAACTAAATATGTTTACTATAAATTAAGGCCCAGTTGTAAACCGCTTAGACATCCCATGCACGATATGAAGCGGTATATAAATGAAGCTGCTTTGCTTTGCTTTGCACATATCATCCTTAAGGGCCATCCACATGTCGCTGCTTAAAGAATTCCTTCCTAGTCTCTGGCCTGTTTGTTATGGGCATTTGATTTATTGGGATCAATGACAGGGCCATCTCTATGATGGGGCCCATCATGGACTTTCTGTTTAACCTTGGGAGATTTAGCATCCTTCCTTTCTCAATATTCATGGTGGCTGAAGATATTTTACTTCTGTTGGGAATACTTTATCTTCTGCTGTTTCAACAGAAATGGTTTTATGCTGATTCTAATGTTGCTATATACACTTTCCCATTTATATTTTAATCTGATTTTTACTACTTTAATTTTATTAGAATTCTAAGACACTTTAATGTCTCTGCATTTGATATATTTTTAAAAAAAAATTAAGTCTTACTTCCTCATGGTTACAATCAGATTTGGGCTCATCATTCTGCCATAAGAAAACCAGAAATATGAAGTACTTTGGTTGGTTGTGTGCCTTCAAGTCATTCCCGACTTATGGCTACCCTGCCATGGGTTTTCATGGCATGTTTCTTCAGAGAGGTTTGCCATTGCCATCCTCTGAGGCTGAGAGAGTGTGACTTGCCCAGGGTCACCCATTGGGTTTACATGGCTGAGCCGGGCTTTGAACCCTGGTCTACAGAGTCCTAGTCCAATGCTCAAACCACAACACCACAAAGTGCTCACTGGCTTTTAATTTGCAGTGAGTTCACAATGGTCAGATTTGTGTTTTTCCATGGCTCAGAAATGCATCCTTGAGATATGTTGCTGCTGGATGAATGGTTAAATAATCAGTAGTGTCAGAAATTATCAATAGGCAGATATTAAGTATTATTCCATTCTCTTTTTCAGGGAGACACTTGAGATTGGGTGAAGATGAAACTAGCTGGCATTGGTTAGAACACCTGCTGCTAGTGCTTTGGGCTGTCTCATATATATCTGTGAAATAATCCAGAACAGAATGCATCTGAAATTAGCTAGCTGAAAGCTTGGTTTGCTCTGTGAGGCTTTTCCTGCACTCTGCTTAATTTAAGAAAAATACATCTGATGCAAATATATAAAGACAGCTGAAATCCAGTCTCTCCTACACATACACCCCTCACAGAGTGCTACCTCCTTTTTCCTCTCCTGCCAATATCTTAGCAATAGACCTGTCTCCTAGGAATATTAACTAGCATGAAATTGAAGGCCTTTGAAGTGGGAATTTACCTAGTGTGCCTTTCTTTGCTGCACATTCTTTCTGGCTGCTGTCAGAAGAAGGTATAATCAAAAGCAGGCTTCTTTAGTCAGGCTCCTTCTTTGGAGATCTCATCTGCTGACACCAGTCTTTAAAAAGGAAACTACACAGATTTCAAACAGGCCAAGAAGAATTATATTAAGAAATGTAAAGAATGGGCTTGAGCACAGGGCTGTAAGAAGCTGCTGCTGCTGCTGCTTTTTTGTTAATGCTGGAGCTCTTGGGTTAAGAATTTGAACTCTCTGTCAGGACAGACTCATCTGTGATAAACTGGCCCAATGGAGCATCTGCTTCTTTTTCTATTATTCCCTCCCCTTTCTTGAAAGCTTGAATGGGTGCCCTTATCCCTTGCCACAATCCTTTATCTGTGAACATTACTGTGCTTCACTGTTTTAGTTGTGTGAGAACACTTCCCACACTATTGATATGCTTCCCCTTCCTTCAATAACACTGACAGGCTAAACAGAAGATTCTCAGTAGTGCCTCAAGATTTATTACTTTAAAAAAACAAGACAGATTTTGGAAGTGCCTGATCACAAGAGTATTCCACTAAGCAACTCACTGAAAACTTCTGAGATTATTTGCCAAAGGAATCTCTGTGGTGTAACTTTGTACTTTAGACCAGAAGAGGGAAAGAAAGTACAAGGGCTCCAGAGGTTTTAGATACCAGGACATAAATTCAGGCTTCATAGATTTAACAGTTGAAGTTATTCACAGAAATACCTATAGCTCTGGTATCTGTAAAAGAATGATCACTGTTGTCAACTATATTGGTTTTTATTGAATTCTGCAAAGGTTGAACAATTCCAAACTGGTTCAGGCAAAAAACCTGAGTAGATAAAGAAAGAATGAACCAGAGTGGCATAGTGGTTAGGGTGTTGGACAAGGGCTCTGGGAGACCAGGGTTCAAATTCTCTCTCAACCATGGAAACCCACTAGGCAAGTCATAGCCTCCCAACTTCTGAGGAAAGCAATGGCAGACTGCCCTGAATAAATCTTGCCAGGAAAACACCATGATTGAGTCACCTTAGATTGGCCATATTTCAGAAATGACTTGAAGGAACACAACTTCAAAAATAAAGAAGAGAACCAGAAAGAGGTGTTTTTTTGGGGGGGGATCATTTTCTTTGTTTGTTGCAGTCCTGTAATTCTTTTTATGTTATTATCGTATGCCTTCAGTTTATTTCCAGTTTATGGCAACTCTAAGGCAGAACTATCACAGTTTTCTTGGCAAGATTTGTTCAGAGAGGGGTTGCCTTTGTTTTCCTCTGAGGCTGAGAGTGTGTGATTTGCCTAAGGTCACCCAGTAGGTTTTGTGGCTAAACTGGGAATCGAACCCTGGTCTCCAGAGTTTGCAAAAGTTTAAGTCACCATCATAATAATAATAATAATAATAAAATTTATTTTTATCCTGCCCCTCTGCAACGCAATCGGGGCAGCTTACAACATTAAAAACATCCAATCATTCCCTAAACCCTCCCCCCTGTAAAACAGTATTAAACTAAGCAATATTAAGAAGTTTTAGTCCTAGTCCAATCCTACTCCTAGTCCAACGCTCAAATCACTACATCACACTTGCTCTTGGGAAAGGCCCCACCAAATATTTTTAATCATAGTAAGTTTATTTGTACCACACATTTCCCACAAAACATAATCAAAGCAGTTCACAAAAACAATTAAGTACCAATAATTCAAATTACATTAACATCATAATATTAACTCAGTAATGATTAATTTAAAATATATCAAAGCTTCCGTGGCCAAAAAGCTTGTTGACAATTGATAGTACTGAGAGTATCAATATTATACAGTTGTCCCTTCTGATTCATGGGGGATCCGTTCCAGACCCCCCCCGCCACAAATCGGAAAAACTGCAAATATTGGAACCCCATTGTTTTTCATGGCTGCACAGCCCTGTGTGCAGCCCTGCACCCTCCTGGCGGAAATTAAAAACTGCGAACGGGAAGTCAATTAACCCGGAGGGATGACTGTAATAGTGTTAAGCAATTTACTAAGCCAGGGGTAGGCAACCTTTTTGAGCCGGGGCCCGGGTTGCTGTCCCTCAGACAATTGGGGGGGGGGCGAAGCACCATAAATAAATAAATAAAAATTAAAATTAAAAATTAAAAAAAAAATTAAAAATGCATGCACACTCTCTCAGCCCCAGAAAAGCCATGGCAAAACCCCTGTGGAGATTTTGCCAAGAAAACCCCAAGAACAAGCAATAACAACAATAATCAATATTATGGCAGGCGGCGGCAGGACCGGCCTGGGGCCGGTCCAAAGGCCTCGGGGGGCCGCATCCGGCCCCCGGGCCTTAGGTTGCCTACCCCTGTACTAAGCACTCAGACTCAGGACCCTATGAGCAAGGTACCTTGCTTGCATCATAATCCAAATCATGGAAGGATGAAACAAAAATACCACAAAGCACTTCAGACAGCCCCCTTCAACCCAACCAAGAGATATTTTTCATGTCCTGGTCCTAAGTGCAAAGCCAAAACAAAGCATCTTCATCTTCCTGGCAACTCCCTCCTGGCTGTCTTAGCAGCCAAACACCTGGGATCTTTCACACTACACAAATATACCACTATGATTCCATTTTAACTGTCATGGCTGCGTCCAATGAAATCTTGGTGATTGTATTTTGGTCAGAGGCAACAGAGCAATCTGGATGAGAATTCTAAGTACCTGCCCCTAATCTGCAAATCCCAGAATTGTATGAGATGTTTCCATGGCAGCTAAAGTGAAATCATAGTACCATAATTGTGTAGTGTAAATGAGTAAGTACCAAGAGAGGCAAGGTGAAAAAGGACTCTCTTTTAGAAGTGTCCTCATTAAAAAAGATTGTAATGGATTTCCTATCATGTTGGCCCCACAATTCTACTGCTCACCTTTCCATTTTAGTTTTAAGATCCTGCCCTGGATCTGGTATTTGGGCCTCAAGGTGACCACTAGTGGACAGGTGAATTGGGGCCAATCAATTGTGTTGATATGTGGGCTCAGTGTGGTAAATAAAGTGTGACCAAATCCTACTTATCCATTTTTAAATGAAAATCAAACAGAGTTGTAGAAAATAGAAGTGGTAAAGATATATTATATACCGTTGGTATCTCTGATGATGAAATCTCTGAATTCTTTCCACACTGAGCTCTGCAAAGCCCCATTAAAATCTCCATTCCCCTCTCCCTAATTGGCCCCAACTCATCTGATCTCAGGATTTAATCCATTCTTATCTGTCTCTGTCCCTGACTCTCTTTCTAACTAAGGACCTTTGCAGACTGCCAGAAATAGTGCAAATTAAGTCCACTTTAAGGGTTAGGGTTAGTGCTAGGGAATCATGGGAATTGTTTTTTTTCTGAGACATTGAGCCTTCTCTGTCAGAGCGCTCTGGTGCCATAATAAAATACAGTTCCCATGATTCCCTAACCCTAACCCTTAAAATGGACTCAATTTGCACTATTTCTAGCAGTCTGCAAAGCTAATTGGCCCTATCTAACTCACTAATAGACAAGCACCTTGTTTTATAGGAGCCAGTGTGGCATAGTGGTTTGAGTGTTGGACTACAACTCTGGAGTTCAGAGTTCAAATCCTAGCTCAGCCATGAAACCCAGTGGGTAAGTTTGGGCAAGTCACACTCTCTCAGCTTCAGAGGATGACCTGGGCAAACCTCCTCTGAAGAAACTTGCCAAGAAAGCCCTATGACAGGGTTGCCTTAGGGTTGCCACAAGTCAGAAATGACTTGAAGGCACACAACAAAAACAACAAACCATGTTTTGTATTTTCCCTCCATAGGCCTCTCCTCACAGCATGCCATGAATTATGATTGATTGGCTCTAATCAGGCTTTCCCAGCTTTTTGCTTAACAGGGATAAAGACAGCACAAAATATTCATATACTCCAAAAGTAACTGTGGCTCTCTTAGGAAGGCTCCTAGAGATGGCACTCAGGAAAGGTGGAATATTATAGTGCAGAGATGGAAATCATGCAAGCTTCTAGATGTCAGGGTTGCTATGTATTCAGTCCATTTCTTATGATATGTCATTTAGGGATGAATTTTCATCATTGCTTGTATCAGATTCTCCAGAGACAAATATATTTTAAGGGGATTATATATACATATATTTTGAGGTGGAGGTTGCTACAGTTCAAATCTCTAGGATCCTTGATACGTGCAAACATTTCTCCGCATTCTTTTTTCCTCTTCAGAAACAGACAAAATTAAATTGGATTTGTTTCAGTTTGATATTGAAGTTTTCCTTTTATGCAACTGCAAAGTGAGTGAGGCTTGAAGGAACACATCAGACTAGCTCTACTGGAACACATTATTATTCTTCCAAACTTGGCAAGAAAATTAACCATGAAGAACATGTGCTTCCTCAAATTAAACACATGGGTTTCTTTGGACCAGAGAGCTGCACAGGTCAGAATGGAGAAACAAATAGTCACAAAGGAACTTCAGCTTTGGGGAAAGGGAACCATTAGGATTGGGGTTGCAGTGCACAAACAAAGTAAGGATTACACCTCTCATTCCACAGCCTGATCCAAACCAGTCATCCTCCTCCACTAGGTGCTATTTTTCAGAAATAAAGAAAAGTTGGTGGTTCCAGACTTAAGAACTTCCATAACAGGGTGAATTCTTCCTCAGAAACACCAGAGCTATATGAGTTTACCTCCTCAGTTAGAAGTATTTGATTGGAAGTCATTGATTCATATACTCAGTGGTTGTATGACCATTTCTACAATCAGATTAAAGATTTAAAAGCTTTCAGATGAGAGAATACTCTGCGGCTGGGACAGGAAGGAGGTAGATTGGAATCTGGTGACAAATGTATGGTAATGTGCAGTAGATTGGTAAAGGTTTCTGTCTCATTTTTTAAAACAGTAACAACAGTGCACTGTTTAAATGCCACTATTCAGTGGCACCTATTCCCAGACAATTCTGATGTCAGTTCAGTTGCTGAAATTGAAGGACAGGAAAAAATAGAAGTTGATTTTGCTGCAACAAGACTTATCACCTCCGGTCTGGTACTGAAAACAAATTCCTGGGCTTAGATGTACTCAGGAGACTCCCTAGGTCTTAATTCTCAGGTTACTGTTTCTGTTTTGCACCTGGCTCTTCTTGGTTGTTCTCAGAGTTTAGTAAAAACAAAGCAGGTCTAAGAAGTCTGGCCTTATGCCCTTTCGTTTTTACATGCCAGTATTCAGTATTACCTGTAATATCCGCAACATTTGGGAGAATCACCAACTATTGTTGGTCATTATTTAATTTCAATTGCCCTAGACTGCCTTTCTCTTTGGATACTCTAATATTGCTTGTGTTACTCACTTATTTCAGGTTTCCTTGAGAAACCAGCCACTTCTGATCAGCTCATAAACACCTTACTCTGTATGAATAAAAAATAACTGTAGCCCAGTCCCCCCCCCCCCCAATTTTGGGTACCTGATGTAGCCTATATGTTGTCAGGCCATCTCAAACACACCTTCTGCATTTGATGAATCCAAAGAAAAAAATGACTGGCGTGCCCTCCAAACCCTCCCCCCAAAAGATATCTGGGGGTGCCACATGGGCTGTTTTAAATCACACCCATCTCAAATATTCTCTGTAGATTGGATTAAGATTTGTCCAGTTATTTTCACATGATGTATGTAGTAACAAACATACTTAGCAGACAGAAACAATTTTATTCGTATAGATGCCTGGTGAAAGTTGCTTTGCTGTAATTGCAAGTATTCTTATCTGTCTGCAAGTATTACATCTGGAGTCCTATTAGTGAAATAAATGTGTCTAACTCAGCAGCATTTCAATTATTATGAAAGAGTAGACTAGATATATCAAGATCTTTTGTATATTATATCTGTTTCATTTTCAGTTTAATACTCAGGAGCACAATGTATGTCATGTTGCTTTCAGTGGTATAGTTGAGCTCACTCTGATCCCTGTCCCTCTCTCATTAAAATCGGTGGGACATAAGATGCACAGTTTTGGCTAGATTATTCTCCATCTTTTCTTGTCTGAGATAACAGATCTTCAGCCCCAATGGGTATAATGCAAAGCTGAAGGTAGGACAAGTACCAATTCAAGCAATATTTAGCAAAGAATTTATTGAAATTATGTTCTTCTGCAGACAAAAACACTGAGTGTACAGACAGATGTGCCAATTTCTGTATTCTATCCAGGGACGCAGTCAGAGAAAGAACTCTAAACTTAAAGGAGATCAATGATTTTATTCTCTGTCTTCCTTAATAAATAGTTCAAAGGTTAAAGAATATTTTTGTGATTGTGTGCCTTCAAGTTGCTTCCAACTCATAGTAACTCTAAACAGGGTTTTCTTGGCAAGATTTGTTGGGGGGGTGGTTGCTCTTGCCTTCCTCTGAGGCTGAGAGAATGTGACCTGCCCAAAGTCACCCAGTGGGTTTCCGTGGCCAACCAGGGATTTAGTCTCTGGTCTCCAGAGTCATAGTCCAATGTTCAAAACACTACACCACACTGGTTCTTTAAAGAGAATACTGTTGGTCAAATAGTTACTATACTTTCTTATACATTCTGTCTTTGAGGTACAGTTGTAATAGCACAGGATTCAAATTTATTAAAGTTGTGAAAGCAACTTTTGTGATCCTCAGTTTGTCTTCTTCTCTCCTCAGTTGCCATTTCCATTGGTACACATTTTCTTTGGAATATCGAAATGACTTCCTTTACAGGTGAGTTTATTTGTACCACTGTTAGGCAAAATTATTCATTCTACAAGGGCTATTCAAATATTGCTCATAAAATGCATCATGAGTGAGATAATCCAATGAAACCAAATCCTCAAAAAACTTTGTGAGTTGGGGGGATTAGAATTCAAAGAGCCCAGTTGCCTCCACCTCCTGCTAAAACAGCCCTTTCCTGAAAGTTAAATATGACTTGTCAGAAGCCACTTGTAAAGATTTGGCTGGCAAACAAATAGAATTGGGTTGGGAGGGATCCTCCTAGTGGGAAACCAACACAAACCGAAGGAATACTTGATTAGTCTCCAAGGGAAGATCAATCAGGCCTCCAAGGGAAGGATGTTCCATAACCAGGATGCTACTGCAGATATAATTGTTGTATTATAGAACTGACAAATGATATTTCATACCATATTTTCCCCACATTTTTAGGATCTGTAAAGAGTCGAAGTATACCAGTTGAAGTTGATGAAACTGGAGATTGGTCCTCATTTCCAGAACATTCTGCAGAGGAGAGTTTGGATCCTTCTGATGAAAATATGGGGTCTTACTCATCTTCTCATGAAGTGGCTGGACAGTCATGTTTTTTCAAGCATCCTAGTGGTTTGGATCATAATAATACTGTATTGGAGGCACATGACCACAATTTCCAGCAAAAATGTCAGGATTCTAGAAGGGAGCTTTTTCCTGACCCATCCTGTGAATCAGTAGCCTCATCAAGACTTAATCTTTTAGCTGCAAACACAACAAATCAGCTGCTGAGGTCTCGACCTTTAGCTGTTTGTCCTGATACTGGGCAAAATTCTGATAGTTTGCACAGAAGTTCATCTGATCATTCCCAAAGTTCACTTGGAGAAAGTCATGACAGTATGGAATCAAGCCAGGCTCAGAGTAACAGAACACCACTAGACCTACAAACAGAAGATGCAGGATATGATTCCCAACCTCCGGATGTTATGGGTATCCGACAACTAGAACCTCCATTGCCACTTACATCTCTCTTTAACCTGCGGGATCTCCCTAGGCCTCTGATGTCTAGAGAGTTTCCACAGGTGGACCCTAGGCCGTATCCTGTGCTCCCACAAATACCCCGACCTCCAATTTCTCCACAAGCTCAGTGGCATCCTAGATACTACATCCCTGATGATGCATACTGCCAGAATCCATGTAAGTCACACATTGAAGGTATAAGTTCTCCCTTCCTAACTGGCTAAGGGTTGCCATTTTGCAAAATGATACTCCTACTCTATTTTGCTGTTTGTGGTGGTGGTGGGGAGTGTTGCTTACTTCCAGAATCTGTTACCAAGCCCTTTATGTTTCCAATTCTTCGTTATATCAATGTGCTCATATAGGCTGGATACCCGACTGAGGGCCTTTGCAGACTGCTAGAATTAGTGCAAATTGAGTCCTTTAACTGCCCTGGCTCAGTGCTAGGGAAACATGGGATTCCCTAACCCTAACCCTAACCCTAAAAGTGGACTCAATTTGCACTATTTCTGGCAGTCTGCAACCCCCCTAATATAGATAAGAATTCCAGAAATAAAAAGTCTGGTAACAGATTCTGGAAATCAGCAAGACTACTGGGGGGGGGGGGAGCACACTTTTTTTAAAAAAAATAAAAAAGTATCTTATCTTTTCAGGGACCAGGGAGGGATGGGAGAGTTTAGAGCAGGGGTAGGCAACCTTTTTGAGCTGGGGGCCGGGTTGCTGTCCCTCAGACAATTGGGGGGCTGAAGCACCAAAAATAAATAAATAAATAAATAAACAAATAAATAAATTCTTTTAAAAAAACATTAAAAAATTTAAAAGAAATATGCATGCACACTCTCTCAGCCCCAGAAAAGCCATGGCAAAACCCCTGTGGAGATTTTGCCAAGAAAATCCCAAGAACAA